CTATCTATCTATCTATCTATCTATCTATCACATTTATATAGCCGCCCATCTCACACAAAGCAACTCTGGGCAGCTCTGGAAAACATGTCAAACGCTTTCACTGTGGAGGTAGGTGCCGTGAGTAAATTCTCTTTCGAAAACGGTCTGTTTTTAAGTCAAGTTGGTGACATTTAGGACAGTGACAAAATATAAGAAGAGCCCTGCTGGGTCAGATTAAAAAATAAAAAAAACCAGTCTCGTCTAATATCTTGACTCCAACAATGTACTGTCAGAAGAAGACTACTCCTATACATGGAAGCTGCATGACTAATAGTTGTTCACAGCACACCCTAATTAATAAGAATTCTACCAAATCATATTGAGGTCCACCATATTTTAATATTCTGACTGCAACAGAGGCCGGCCTGATGCTGTTCCATAGGAAGGGCATGAAAATGATGCAATTCCTTTCCCTGTTGTTTGATGCAGCATCTTGTATTCAGAAACAGCTTCACATCACTATTATGGCTAACGTTTTCCTTCTCTAAAATCACCTCGATTCCCATTCCACCTGTGTCTGGGAATGGTGGGGAATCTACTTTCAGTGTGAATGTCTGCAAGCCCATTTCAGCCGAGACTTAACCTCAAGTAACTTTGCTTCAGACAGAAATGAAACGACCACAAAGGAGCGGTGGACATTTTTAATAAAATGCCATCTTTCTGGTTAAAGATAGCTCTTCTCATTCTCCTTTCCCAGCCTCTCTCAGTCTCCAGATGCATTAGGACTGCAATAGTCATCCAACATATGGGGTGGTGGGGAGCAGATAGAGGAAGCTGGCCCAAATTATTCAGTCAGCAGAACTGCAGCCTGAGAAACTATTTTAAGCGCAACTGAAGAAAAAAATTTCTGCCCAGGAAGAAGTTACTTCTAAGGCGGCGTTGGGTTACACTGGGCACTTTCGCCATTCCTTTTCCTGGCTGTTACTCAAAGCAGAGAAAAAGAAAGAGGGCGGGGGAAAGAGAGAGGGGGGGGGAGAGAGAGAGAATGAGAGAGAGAGAGAGAGATTGCCCAACAGGAAATTACTTGAGAGAAAGGGGCTGAGAAACGCATGACCTGTGGGTGCTGGGACAGTTCAGTGTCTCTAAAAAAACACTTTCTAAAGTGAATTTTTGCAACAGGTATCTCTAACTGTAATGGGCTGTGAGAAGAACCTTGGGAGGCAGGAGGAAGAGCCACAACCAGGGCAACAGTCAGACAAGAGGCCTCTCAGCCCACAGAAGGGAAAGGGGCGTGGGAAGCATCTCAGAAGGAACTCCTCTAGTTTTCTTGAAAGTAAAAGTGAAGGAGGAGAGAAATGCTTTCACACTGGGAAGGTTCTGTTACTGTAACCTTACAATAAAGGTAGTGTTACTACTGATGGTTTCCTGTCTGGACTATTTTGAAGGGCTGATACTAAGTCACCAAACCTTGCTTTGGTAATCTAGAGAAGAGGAATGAGGTGTAAGTTGATGAAGAATGGGAACATGGGACTCTGACCTGCTTTGTCATGACCACCAGGGAAGGATTAAAACTCTTCCTGTTTTACAGTGCGATGCAATTTTTCAAGGGTTTTTCCCCTGCAAAAAAAGGCTACCTTATTCTCAGGGAACATAGCAACTTAGTTTGAATTTGTCTTGACTATTTCTGAGTTGACTTGACTGTTGGAAGTTGCGGAAGGTGTTTCTGTTGACGCTGTAGTTTCCTCTCATGCACATTTCCCTCTCTCTGAAGCTCCCTGGCTGTCTACACCTCCCAATTTTGAGTAGCCTCAAAGGAGGGGGTCCCTCCCCATGTTGTTACTTGATCTTTAATGGAAACCCTGGAGAAACTGTTGTGCAGTGAACAGGGAGGACAATCACACAGACCAATTAAAAAGATACTACAACCTTGAGTATCTTAATGGAAATTCTTTTTTTCTCTTTCTCTCTCTCTGTCTTAGGAAATGTTGAAAGCAAATTCTCTTTCATCAAACTGAGAATGAGAACTGGTAGAAAAAGGGTGGATAACTTTTATGTAGAGCACAACTTCCAAGAGGGTTCCTTCCAGATGGATGTCTTGTTTTGACATCACACAGCTACCCTGCTTAGAACTTCCACTGATCCTTACAACCCAAATGTGCCCAAGGGTGTGTGCGTGTATATAAAGTCAAGATGGCGGTCACAACTGTCCAACCAAAGCCCCAACCTTTTGAATGTGCATTGGGACCACCATCTTAATTTGACCTCTCTATCCCAGAAATTCTCAAACTTTGCAGTGCTATGAGCTCCTAAAATGATACATGAATTTGTGCAACCCTGCCATGTAGACAACTAATGATTTCATTGGGATTTGGGTGTGGCCAGAAATAAATACACCCCTCTGTGGGTCTTTGGGATGTACTGTAATTAACATTATTTATTATCTATACCATTTACTTTAATAATTGCATTTTAATCTATGTATCACCAGAGATCTCAAATTTGAGGCACTGTAGTAGCCCATCACAAGCTTGTGCAAGTTAAATAGAATGAGTTTTGGCAATACAGCTGTTTTGCCTAGGCACCCGGATCAGATATTTAAAAAAAAATTGCAGCTCCCATCTAAATTGCTTGGGGAAAGTCACACGCCACAGTTTAAGAAGAACCCTGCTCTGTCTAACTGTCCATCTATGTACAGACAGCCTTCTTAGGGGCTGTGTGTTTATCTAATATTATACATATTTTTTGATATTATGATACTTAAACTTTTATCGAAAAAAATGCAAAGCCATCTAAAAGGCAGAAGCAGCCAAGAAGGGGTGCACAGCCAGGTCCTTTCCAGCCCCCTCTCTACATCTTTGCCCCCATTCCAAGACTGTATGAGTGACTTTTCCCTTCTCTCCTGGAATTTCACTCCTTTGTTGACTAGAGGAAAATGGTGCTTTCATTACTGCTGCTCTTCAGCTGAAGCCATGAATTTCTATAATCTTTAGTAGGAGGGGAGATCCTGTGGCCAGCCAGGTGTTGCTGAACTACAATTCCCAGCAACCCTAGTAAGACTGAGGTAAATTGGGAGCTGTATTCAGCAATAGGTTGGCTGGGTTCATACAACATACTACATTAGGCTCAAATGGGGTGGTTGGTAGTTTGCGGTTCTACAAACTGAACGATCTAAACATAGTCCTATCATGTTGTGTGAACCAACCCATCACGTTCAGCCGTAATATGACATACTTGTTTGGGGATAGCATGCTATGGGGTTGCAGTATTGTGGTGAATGAATCCAACTTGAGGATTTAATGTGTTGTGTAAAACAGATTTCTCTTTCAGTTCCTCCAACCCTAAGCTAGCTATTCTACCATCTGTACTTTTATTGGGCTCTTCAGTTTCATTTCCGTTTTTAATTTGGTTGACCCCACAGGAAAAAAAGAAACCTAGTGAAGGAAGGTCATGTCCTGTTCTAAAACAAGGCATGCTTAAATGTCTCTTTTGCCTTGATGTGTCTCTTAACTCAGTTAAACTAATTCAGGTTATTTTTCATGGCAATTTGGAGATTTGGGGAAACTGACCAATCCCTCAATAGGAAGAGAAGGAGACCCTTGGATTATGGAAGCCAGTTAGATGTGGCTGCTGGCCAAAGGGAGACAACCTGCTATCCTTCAAATATTTTGGATTATAATTCCCACAATCCCCTGCCCCAGGACAATCTAGCTGGAGTTGATGGGGATTCCCACCCAAAATTGCCTATCCCTGGTCCTGGTCATGTGAACTGGATAATCTAGATCAGTGTTTCTCAACCTCAACAGCATACTGGCTGGGGAATTCTGGGAGAGGAAGTCCGCACATCTTAAAATTGATGAGGTTGAGAAACACTGGTCTAGATTATGCCGGTTTATAAATTTCGTCAAGACTCTTAACTTTGCTCTTAACCTTGAAATGCAGAGTTGAAGGAGTGCTGAATGACTAGGAGTTTAGAAGGCAAAAACTCTACAGATCCTGCAATATGGCAATATGGGTATTTTGCTGCAGCAAATCGTTGGGGAGGAAATGGGATTTGCCAAGAACGATCCTCCTTCCGGAAAAAAAAAAAATTAAGAAACCCAGCAAATTTATTGCAATCTTGGGCTTTTTGAAAAACAGAGACTTCCTGCTCAGTCACACAGGCGTTCCGGGAAGCCCAAGAAATAACCCTCTACTTACGCTGCATTCAAAGAGCTCAGTTCTGCCTGCTGCAAGAACATCAACCTTTAAGCAATTTTTGTTGTCCATCTTGATAAGGTTAGCAAGTAAATGCAACATGGTGAATTTTTAAACAGATGTTTTAACTAAACCAAAAGCAGACAGTTAAAATCGAGAAGGTCTACTCTGGATGATGAATTTTTATGGAATGCTACAGGATTGGATTACTTAATCATGGAAAGCATTATTAACTGAGAATTATAAATTAATGAATAAATGGATGTTACCATTCCTTGAAATTCAAGGAAAGGGTTAATGACATTCTCATGCTAGAAATTGCCTCCCTTTTTAAAATGTCTAAGTCTGTACAGAGCACTGGAAAATGTAGTTTTCTGCAGTGTTTCAGTTCTTCGGGTTATTCGTACATCTTCTCTCCTTTTTCATGCTTTGATAGAACAGTGCAAAAAAGGCAAGCTTGTCATCTCACATTAAGATTGCACTAAATCCTTTAGTGCAATATTTTACCAGCATTCATGCATCAATAAGATGCAAAATACACACAAAAATTGATGATGCAGTTATATGTATCATCAAATTAGGATTGCTTTTTGGTAGTGTTTTATCTATGTACCCATGGGGAATATTAGGAAAAAGGAATTGCAAATTCACTGAAAATACGAAGCAAACTACAGTATGCCCAATCTATTTCTGAAATAAAAATTCCAACTTCCCTTCTTTAAACAGGAATTCAGAAAGGGGAAAGTCCAGCTAAAGAAATACTTCAATCGCTGTGATCTGAGCCTTGACGGAAAGTCATTTAAAATAGCAAAGCAAAACACAGCTTTTATTCCTAATGCTGTTTTCAGGGACCTTTTTCAGATTTTTCAGAGTCAGAATTATGTTTACATACACAGAAAAAGATGAAGAATCAACAGAAAGCAATTTGTAATCTGAACTGTGTCTCAGGAAAGGCTACTCGGTATCAGAGTTTCGGGCCTTCGTTCATAGGTCACAACGCCCAATTCAAGCAACTGTTGCGTATGACCCAGAATTGTAGAGACCCTACAGATTCTATGACTGAAAGGGCTCCACTCCTGGTCACTCATAAAATTGCCACTGAGGAGCAAAAGAGAAGTCCAGCTCCAGTCCTCTGACCGGGCAGGGAACCGGTGCTGCTTTCAACCAACTCTTTCCTTATTTTAAAAGTTTTAACGCTCTGGGAGCAGCTGACTGGACAAATATGCAGTTACAGAGGCGCCCTTTCACATCTTTTGTACAACTGGAGTGAGCATCTGCTGTGCAAACGAAGCTGTGCTTTCGACTCGGAGGAAGGGGTCACTAGGGGTATTTTGGGTCCCTGTTTTGCATTTGTTTGGGGGAGATGGGTTAATTTAAAGCAGGGTTTTTCAACCTTGGCAACTTTAAGCTAGCTGGGGAATTCTGGGAGTTGAGGTCCACACATCTTAAAGTTGCCAAGGTTGAAAAACACTGCTTTAAAGTCCTGTAGGCTTAATAAACTTATTTTGCACCTTAAAATGTAGACAATTGCCCTGTTTAAACTGAGTACCCAATGCCTTTGGGAGATGAAACATCCCCATTTCCACCCTCCTAAAAGAAGGCCTGCTGTTTCAGGACCTAGCACATAGGAGCAGAAAGAGCAGCTGAAAAGTACTCTTCGGTGGCCCCCAGACAGTTCCAGAATTGGGTGGATGAAGAATTTGGGAGCTTCATTCATTTGGCGGGAGGGGCATTGGGGATCCTGGAGAGTTTTTATGGGCAAAGTCATAGAATCATAGAATGTAAGGATTGGGTGGGATCTTGGAGATCATCTAATCCAGCCCTCTCCATAGTGCAGGAATTCACAACCACAGCATCCTGGACCAATGTATTTGTTCTGCAAAGGTATATGGCCTCCCATCTTAATCAACTACCTCTGGGCAGCTAACAAGCATAAAATAAAAGCATACATATAAAAACAGGGAAAAGAGTTAAATGAACAATAAAGGCGCCAGGTAAAACTAATCACCTTCTTAACCATGCAGAGCAAAACAGAGCCTGAACTGAACTTACTCCCTGGCCCAGAAGCCAGAGGGAAGAGCCAGGTTTCTAAGACCTTCTGAAAGGCCTGACCCTCTGTTTAAATGCCTCCATCAAGGCAGGGACCCCCATTTACCCCTACTGAAAGCTCTTACGACAAAGACCATTTTTCCCAAATAACCAGCTGATATCTCTGAACTATTCTGCCCCCACTTCTCCTTGATGTCCTGCAGATACTGGAAGACAGCTATTGTGTCTCCTTGCAGTGTTGTTTATCCAGGATAAACTTCTTCAACTCTTACCAATAGAAGCGAATATGAATACGAAAATGTTACCTAGCTGGGTAACGAAACGTTTGGAAGAAAACAACCAAGCTCAGAGAACCCCAAGGACTCCACATTATTCCACTGTCCCAACCATTTTTCACGTGTTTTCCTTCCCATCCCCTTATCAGCTTAGTTGCAGTCCTCTGGACATGCCCCTGTTTGTCAGCATTCTTCCTAAAATTTAGTGCCAAACCTGGACACAATATTCTAGGTGCAGTCTGACCAACCCAGAATAGAGAAGTACCATTAAATACCTTGCAGTTGCTTAAGGCACCCATTTCGCTCTTTAAAACTCTTAAAACCTGGTCCCAAATGGGCCATGATGACCCCACCCTGTTTGGAGGGCATCCTTTTGCAAGCACCAGGCAAAGCTCTGAGACTTTGAGTTTGACCCCGACCTAACGTGCATTCCCAGAAAATGATGCCTCTCAATAGCTCACCTTTTTGCTGTTGTCTGCTTTCGGCTCTGGTGGCTGCCTTGCCCACTTCTCATTTTGCCCCCTTTGCCCTTGGATTCGTTGTTGTAGATGTTCTCATAGTCCTTGTGGAATTCCATGTCCTGAAATGTGTTCTCTGGCGGGGACAAGTGGCTGATGTACCTTGGTTGTCCGGAAGTGCCTTCAGATGTGTTGGAAGGCCGCTTTTCCTCATTGATTGAGGCCCTTTTCTTCCTCCGGATTACGAAGTAAACCAGGATGGCCAGTAAGAGCAGAACCAAGATAGGCACCACAATGGCAGGATAGAGCACAACACCCATGCCACGGCAGCTGCTGGTGTAGTAGTCAGTTACATTAACCAGCTTTTTAGAAGAGAAACACTGGCATTTGATGCCACTGTCTGAGCAGTTGTGGCAATATTGCAAAATGCGACCAGCCACATTGCAGTAGCAGTCCACACTGAGCTTCTCCAGGCAGTGATTAAAGTCCTCAATGAATCCAGGGGAAAGTTGGTTGTTCTCCAGACTCAGAAGCTTCAGGTTGGGTGTTTTGGCAAACAAGTGGGAAGGAAGGAGCTTCAGTTTATTATTGTGAAGGAACAGTGATTTCAGATTTGCTGCAGACTTCAGGAATCCTGGTGGCAGGCTTTGGATTTTATTATTGGACAGGTCCAACTCTTCCACTTTTTCCCCCACACTGAAATTGACATTGGTGAGATTAAACTGGCCACTGATATTCAGGCAGCGTACTCTGGGTTGCAGCGACTGCAAATCTGGTGCACCAGAGGGTCCAGTGAGGTTGTACAGGTCGGTCAGAGGACATTTAGCATCCATAAGACTTCCAAGCAGCAAAAACAGCAGAGTGACGAACAGCCCCCACATGCTACATAAAAGCAAACTGAGTTGACATATGTGGCAAATGGGTGAATCTATCAGTTCTGCTCTGTCCTAACTCCTGCGTTTTACAAATATGCTACAGTAATTTTTCCCTGTTTCTCTTTACACAGTTCTCGTAAACCTGAGGGTCTTTTACCAAAGTCAGTTCCCAGATATGTTTTTATTTTGCTCAGCATCTTGAAACGTATGTGTTTTAGTTTTGCGATTTTGCCAAGTTTTTGCAGATTCCTGCCCCCCCCCCTAATTTCCCAATACAATGCCTTTTCAGGATATATGCATTTCCCCTCAATTTTTTAAAAAGAGTGCTGCAACATTCAGAAATGTATACATTTGGAATGATATCTGAATTTCCGTTCATACCTCGGTTTAAAAATGAAAAAAAAAAAAGATGAATTTGCAGCTAAACGCTTCCTAAATTTCTGTCCATCCCCAACAATAACATGGCAAAAAGGCTAGATCATTCTGCGTCATCTTTCTGATTTGGCATGGACAAGCAGGAGACCCCTGCTCAGTTTTTAATGTTCCATTTGATTGCTAGGATTCTTACAAAGATTAGGTTGACCCCACAAGGGATCCTGTAACTGTGTTCACATGACACAATCGGCTGCAAAGTGGAACGACCTTTTCTGAGGGCCTCCAGGTTGCTGCAATCGTGGCTGAAACCCTCCTTTCCTTGCATTTTTTTTTCATGTGGGGAAAAATGAAGTGGACAGCACTATCATAGGCAGAGGATGGAGAGCAGGGAGCCCCCACCCTTTGTGGCCATTTCTTGACAGAGATGCAAACTCAGAGCTATTGTGCCACATCTGTAGGCTTTGGAGAGGCAGTGCGGAACATTCATGATTAAAGAAAAGGGAATATTATATACCAGGCAGTGGCTAGTAAAGATTGTCCAACTGAATGAGCCCAAAGGTCCATTAAATACAGCTTCCTGCCGGGGTCAGTCACATGAATGGTATCCAGAGGTAGATTGCCTGGGAACTGTGGACCCTCACGACTGTGTCACGTGAGGGTCCACACAACTAACAAGGTCAAAAGAAGATCGAGATTAATCCATTAAGCCCAGCCCCCAGCTTCCAACAAAGACTAGTCAGATGCCTTCAGGAGGCCCAAAATAAGGCAGGAATGGAAAGTAGATGGTTCTTGAATACAGAAGCTCCATTTTGCTATTAATGTCAAGAAAGAGAGCCAGTTGGGTCTAGTGGTGAAGGCACCAGGCTAGAAAGCAGGAGACGGTGAGTTCTAGTCCCGCCTTA